TCAGCAATGGCATTAGCTCCATCTAACAGCAATGACCGTAACAATGTAATAGTAATGATGATGAAGGGGCCTCCTTGATGGCTCAGGGGTTAAAGATAGCACTACCAAGCTATCACCAGCTACTGCAGTACCAATTCCATCCCTGGCCAGCCAGGGAGGTGACCCTCATGGAACAGTAGACCACTCCTGTCTCACCCACTGCTCCCCTCAACAATGTACTTCAGTACATCTGCCTGTTCTGCTCCCCACTCTGTCTATGGTAAATCCTCTCACCCCCTGTACCTCTGACCTACAACCCAGATCTTGTTTGTATAAATAAATAAATCTTTTTTAAAATAGTAATGATGATGATCACATTATTTTGTGCTATGTTCTAGTATTTTCCATAAAATACCTCAAATGAGTTTCATAACTGTTCTGTGACACAGGGACTCTTAGGGCCTCCATTTTTACCATGTGGAAACTGAGGTTTACAGCAGTGAAGACAAATGTTCAAAGTATAGAGGCCAGGTGTGAACCTCAGGTGAGATGGACTGTAAAACATGGACATCAAATTATGGCCATAGCTTCTTCCCTTCCATATGGGGCTGAGGTAATGGGATACTCGGAAGGGGCCTTGCCACAGGCCTATGGGCTCATAGCAGCAGCTCCCAATTTGCACTTCTCTGATGAATCTAATTAATCCCTATGACCTTGAGCAGATGGCTTCACCTCTCTGGGCCTCAGTGTCCTCATCTATATAATGGGGATAAAAATAGTCTGCCATGGTCCTTCTGTGAGGGCTCTACAGGCCTCAGCCAGGGGAACAGTGGTTATCCTTACCCCAGGTCCCAGGCCTTCCCCTTCCCAACAGGAACTGCTGCAGCAACAGGTGGCCCCCAGTCCGGGGCGTGGTGCCTGGAACTGGTGGGCAGGAGCCAGTAGGCCGCACTTTTGGGGGTCAAATGTCCCCCAGGGGGCGGGAACTAGGGTTCAGCTGGGGCTGGGGATCGGGTTTCTTGGGGGGTGGGGCCCTCCTCTCTTGAACAGTAACAAGGGTGCGGAGGGTTCCTCAGTCGGGCCCTGGGGCACAGACTCACCTGGCGGGCAGCTGCGGCGCCTCGACCTGGGGGTCCCTTCCTCTTGTGCATCTTCCAGGCTGGATGTCCGGATCACTGGCCCCTTGCCTGGCCTTGCCCTGCCTCCTACACCCCCCCAACCCCGTGGTCTACCGCTGCGCACGCGCCCTTCTTGAGCTGGGTTCCTCTCGTCTGAACCTCACTAAAACCGACAGAGAGTCCTGGCCCTCACCAGGTGGCCATCCCACTTCCGCCTTGGCCTCCAGCGCCTCTGCACAGGAGCGCGGTCACTCGACTCGCCGAACCGGTCACACTGAAACTACAACTCCCGGCAAGCAGTGCGTGAGCACGCGTGCGCGCTGCAGGGTAAGTGGGGCGTGCCGCGGGCTGCTGGCGAAAGAGGCGGAGCTTGCGCGCGAGTGTGAGAGGCAGTGCTGGCGTCACGCTTAGTGCGCGGTGAAAGAGGCGGAGCCTGTACAGGTGTGAGGGGCGCGGGCTGCTCTCCGGTTCTCGGCGTCCGCGACTGCCTGCGTGCTCCGGTGTCTCCTGGCGGACACGAGCTGAAGAAACATCACTTTTCGGTGGCCGTAGTGTTAATATGGCAACGGGGTCCGGGTCGGCAGTGCTCAGGCCTCAGTCCTAAAGCTCCAGTTCCCACCCCCACCCCTGACAGCGGATTCCCTGTCAGGGACAATTTTATCTTTCATTTTCTCAGAAGTTTTTCACGCAAATAATTTAGCTGACTTGTCCCCCAACAGGTCCAGGTAGACCTACCTATTTCCTGATAAGGGTAGAGGAATCTCAACAACTTCTCTAGCCCAGGAGGGTTTTGGCTTACCTAGCCCCCAAGGCTGGAAGGAATTGGCGGTGTGACTCCTGATCCTCCAAAGGCCTCTCCCCAAAAGGTACCCCCTTGAAGGTCCCCAGGTGTTCCTGGAAGGGACCTAGACATCCCAGCCTGGATGGGAGGGGCTTCATACAGGCTGCCGCAACTTAGGGACGGGGGTTGAGGTCTCCATTGGCTTACCACAAAGGACACCCCTCCCCTGCTTTCACACCCTGGACAGAAGATGGACAGTTCTCTCCCTGGGCCCTGCTGCATAGAGGTTGGGCCAAGGTAGCTGTAAATCCCACCCTGTGTCCTCCTGAGGGTCAGCACTCCTCTCAGGACAGTTTCATGGGCCAGAGGGGTAAGGATGGCTTCTGTCCTCAGCCAAGGCCAGTGGAAATGCACCCAGGGACTGCTTGTAATGATGGGAGTTGCTTGTTTTCAGATTTCTCAAAGGAGGGATAAAATGAGTAAGAGGAAGAGGATTCGAACCTCAGGTATATACATGTCTGTTCATCTGATAATTCTTTATTGCTGCTTCTGCTTATAGAAGAAATGTATGCTTATTGATTGTAGGAATTCTAAAATGACTACACCAAGCTCTGTAAAAAAGTGCAATGACTTAGTATATGCTAGAAAGAAAAGTATAAGTATGGAGAAGTGCATTCAGCAAAAGTGAAAGCTTTCTGGAGCCTTTTCCAGCCTGTGGTGGGAGTTACACAGCCTAGAAGCCCCCAGGTAGGCGTGTAACTGCTTGCAGGCCCACTCTCAGAGATGACCTCTGAACAGAACCTAAGTGCTACAAGGCCATCTGGCATGTGACTCAACTTTCAGTCTAGAACCAGTACCCTGGTTCTTTTTTATTTTTAAAAAAATAACCATTTTCTTACATCCTTGTTAAAGTTTTGACAGATTAGGGTTTCTCCCCTCAGGTATGGTCACGGTAGCCCTAGGTTCCTTTCATTTCTTCTAATTCTGTGATGACAGATGACCATGCCTCAGTTTCTCCCTATGGTAATAGGGGATAATAAGAGTACCCACTGTTTCCTTTATTTGTTTTATTTTAAATTTTCTTTATTGACTTGTTTTCTTGTTTTGTGTGTGTGTGTGTGTGTGTGTATAAGACCTGGAGTGTAGGCCAGAGGTGCAGGGTGTGAAAGGGTTCATCAGAGACAGAGAGAGGAACAGAACAGGCGGATTTACTGAAATACACTGCTGAGGTTTGCTGCATCATATGTGGATTAACTCCTTGACTGGAAATGGAACTCAGCCATGGTGGTGATAAGCACCTGAGATTTAACCCCTAGGCCACCAGGGAGGGCCACCATTTCCTTTAAAACAAGTGACTCTAAACCTGGTCAGGGGAGGAATTTGCCTCCCAGATGATATAGAGTAATGTCTAAAGAATTTTTGGGTTTTACAGCTGATGTGTGTTGGGGTGGGGGACGTGGTAGTAGAATTTAGTGGGTTGAGGTTATTAGGATGCTCAGAATTCTACAATGCACAGGACAAACTCCACAACACAAAGTGATTCATCCCCCTGATATCAGCAGTGCTCATGGAGAATTGTGCCCTAGAGCTCACATGCGGATTAGTATTTGCAAAGCACCAAGAATAGACCATAGATAACAAGTAAAAGTGTGCTGCTGTGAGGATTGCCCTTCCAGACTTAAAAGAAAAAAGTCTTCACTTGTAAATAATTTGGGAATTACAGAAAAGTTGTGAAAATAATTAAAGATTCTGTCAACTTTTCCTCAGCTACCCCTACTTTCAAAGTCTGACAGGATGATGAGATATACATATTGCAGTATAACATAAAAAAAAAAAACAGCAGGAAGTGAACTTCAGTGCAATATATCCTCTAAGCTCTGTCTATACAAACATAGTGCTTCAATGGGAAAATAGAATCATCACACATACTGACTTGAATTCTCCATTACACTGCAGGTATATCATAACCATCTTTCCTTTCCATCTTTGCATTCCATATGCAAATTCCAATATGCATATGGAATTTCCTCATTCAAAAGGAAAAGCATCCAATATTACATATTAGAGGTCCATTTCTAAAGTAATTTCAACTTCTTAAAACTTTAGAACTGACTTCTTAGTGTTTAATGAACTTAGAGAGTAACACTTATTTTTCCCCAAAATGTGAGACAAGAAAGAAATTATCAACAGATTGAAAATGTTTTGTGTAAATATGAGCAACAGGCTGCTCAGAGGCACAGGAATTTCTCTGACTTAGGGTAAGGAAGCTGGGATGTCCAGGACCACCCACAGCTGGTCATTTGGAGCTTCCCTTGGCAGTGGTCTCCCCATTTTAGTGGACTAGACTGGCCTAGGACAGCTGTTTCTCTGTGTCCTGGGTGGGGTCTCTTGAGAGGAAGACAATTCTGGCAGGTGTGAAAGAGGCCCTTTCCTCCATCTTTGACCTTTGGTGTAGAACATAAGTTTCTGCCTCAATTCTTCCTAAAATTACTCCTGTGGGACAGATCATAGGAAGGAAATGGGAGGCTCTTCATTTCTGTTGATGTTTTTGCTTTTTGTTTGAAACAAAAGCTCATTGGATCAGCAGAGCAAGCTAGAGTTTGGCATTTTAAGAAACATAGTAAGGGCCCTCCCTGGTGGTGCAGCAGGCTAAAGCACAGCACTAAGAAGCTAAAGCCACTTCCCCATGAGTTTGATCCCCACCCGGGAGGTGACCACATGGTCCCGCAGACCTCTCCTGACCTGCCCACTGCTCCCCTCAGCAGTGTACTTCGTTGATTGGCCTCTTCTGCTCTCTACTCTCTCTGGTGAATCCTCTCACTGCCCCTGCACCTCTGGCCTGTACCCCAGTTCTGTATACATAAATAATAAATCTTTAAAAGAAAAAGAAAGAAACACAGTAAATGGGCAGCTCTCCTCTTGAGACCGCCTGTGTGTGACTGTGCAGTTGCCTCTCCTTTCTTTCTTCTTTTTTGATAAGTCTGTCCTTTTAAAACGTAAGTCAAAGAAACCCAGTAAATGAAGCTGCTGTATTTTGCTGTTTCTGGCTCACCACAGTGGGGAAAGTGTTTGTGAAAAGACATTTGTAGAATATTATTCTGGGTGCAGCACAGGGGTGGGCACTAGAGCTGGTGGTAAGAGGCCCCTATTACAGACTGTAGTGCCAGGATGAAACCAAAGGTACCCAGACTTACTTCCTGCCTTGGAAACCTGTAAGATGTAGTCAGGGGAAAGAAAACGTCTCATGAAGAGAACACATCAAATAGATGGCATTGTAGTAGAGTTATAAATGGACACACAGAAAACAAACCTGACAAAAATAGGAGAAATTACAGCAAATCTGTGTAGCCCAGAGTAATGCTGAGGAGGACCAAGAAATTGTCTCTGAGAAGAGAGGATGCATAATAATGGGTTTACTTCAAAATGGATAAGGAGAAGACTCCCTGGTAGCCTAGAGGTTAAGGTTATCACTACTTCAGCCTGAGTTCAATCCCTGGGCAGGGAGTTAACCACATAGCAAGATCTTTCCTGTCTCTCCCAATGCTTCCCCTTAGCAGTGTATTTCAGCAAATCCACCTGTTCTGCTCCCCACTCTGTCTCTGGTGACTCCTCTTACCCCCTACACCTCTGGCTTGTACCCCTGCTCCTGTATGCATAAATAAATCTTAAATATAGGTCTTAAACATAGGTCAACGGGTGTTTGATTGAACCCCCGGAAGGTCCTGGGTCCCGTTATTTTGTTCCCTCCATTGTCAGAAGTAAGGTACATGATACTCAGGGAATGCTTAAGGACACTTGAATGCACAGGCTCCAGAGTTGGACTGCCCAGATCCCATTCCAGTTTCTCTGGCCTTCATGTGTGTTACCTTTGTTAACCAATAAGATGGACACACAACCTTGAAGTTGTATCATAAAATACAAGTTCTCAGAACAATGCCCAGAATGGGCCTCACTAGAGACAACTCTCAACATTTGTTCATTGATTAAGTGTCTGGATTGGGATCAGATTTGGGAGGAGTCTTACAAACCAGCCACTTGTAGAAGTTTTCTGTGTAATAAGGTTTCCTTTATTCAACAAGTAATAAGTACCTTTAGGCTCTAAATTGCTTTCAGTGATGGGGAAGGTATTATAGAGATAGGAGAGGCCAAGAGGAGACTAAGATGCCCCTTCCTAGTACTTGAGCACTTTGGGTTCCGGTCTCCCCAGGGTGGATGTTCTTTGAGCATTATGGAAAACTAGAGTGGGGCATGATTTAATCTTCAGTGGTACATGATATAGTGTTTTTGGCCTATGTTTAATATTTTTCGAGTACCTACAGTAGACCAGATGTGCCTTTCCAGACCTTAAGACTCAGTAAGGAGTGAGGGTGATAAGGCCCCTTTTTGCATGGGACAGGTTGTAGTGGGAGAGAGACATAAAATAACCCTATATATTGGATACTTCCCATAAATTGGTGATATGAATAAAACTGAGCTTGGACTTAAATGGGGATCTTTTTACAGAGAAGTCAAGGATATCTTATTTGCTGTGCCCTGAAGGGGCCAATTCATACCTCCAACCACTTCCTCAGAGAGATAGTCAACTGAATCAGGCCTGGCCATCTTGGGGTTCAGTCTGTCATGGCCTTCTGAATCCTATATGTATGTGGTTCTAACCTTTCTACTGTGTCCAGATGGGCATCTTGTTCCAAGGGCAAGAAATGCTTACCTTGCAGCAGCCTGAGGGGAATGCTCCTGATATCCTTCCACTTTCTTTGTTTCAAAACCAGGAGGAGAAGGGATTCATCCTTCAAAACCCCCAAAGAATGCAAGGCTAGGAGACTCTAATGGGATCTCTCAGTGTTTTGAGCTGGATCATTTGCATTGTCCTGAAGAGACAGAAGGAAGATCAGGACCCATTCCCTCTGCAGAGCAGAGTCAAGAGGAAACAGGATGGGTGGCCTCCAGGTAGGTGGGACAAAACATTCCAGCAAACATAACATGGTGGCCTGGGCCTCCTTGGTGGCATAGGGTTAAGTCTCAGTGCTATCACCACTACAGCCTGAGTTCCCCCCCTGACTAGAGAGCTGACCCATATATGGTGCAGCTGACCTCTCCTGTCTCAACTGCTGCTCCCCTCAGCATAGTTCAGTAGATCCACCTGTTCCACTCCCCACTCTGTCTCTGATGAATCCTCTCTTGCAGCTCTAGCCTATACCCCAGTTCTTGTATGCATAAATAAATAAAAATAAAACTTTAAAAAACTAAAAACAGCCCTCCCTGGTGGCGCAGTGGGTTAAAGCACAGCACTAAGAAGCTAAAGCCACTTGGCACAAGAGTTCAATCCCCACCCCGGATGTGACCCACATGGCGCGGCAGACCTCTCCTGACCCGCCCGCTGCTCCCCTCAGCAGTGTACTTCGTCGATCTGCCCATTCTGCTCCCCACTCTGTCTCTGGTGAATCCTCTCACCGCCCCTGCACCTCTGGCCTGTACCCAGTTCTGTATGAATAAATAAATAAATAAATCTTTAAAAGTAAATAAATAATAATTTAAAAAACTAAAACAAAACAAAAAACTGAAACAAGGGCCTCTGTGGTAGCGCAAGGGGGTAAAGCACAGCACTGTGAAGCTAGCCACAGCCATTGCAGCAGAGGTCCATCCCAGCCAAGGGTGACCCACATAGTGTGGCAGTCCTCTCCTGTCTCGCCCTCTGCTCCCCTCAGCAGCGTGTTTCACTCGATCTGCCTGTTCTGCTTCCCACTCTGTCTCTGATCCCCCACCCCTGCATCTCTGGCCTATATCCCAGTTCTTGTATGCATAAATAAAATCTTTAAATTAAAAAAAAAAAGGGACCGGAGAACAGTTTTGTGTATCCACAGTGTTAAGCCACATGTAACTATAACAAAGTAGAAAGGGGAGTTAGAAAAGAGAGGTTCCTGTAGCCCGAGTCTAACTCATAGTTCGAACTAGCAAATTTTCTGAATATAAAATTGAGGCATATAATTCTGACAGAATTGTTTTCATGAATGGGTGTGGTATGTCATCTCAGGTCATTGCTGTGTTAGGAGTAAAGGCAGCTGTTGTCTTTGTGAGACAAATAGGGTACCACGTGTCACATTTAAACCTTCTCCAAAAGGGTTGATGGGGTTTTGGCTACTGCCCTCCTTACTGTCTGAGTCCACAAAGACAGTCAGGATCTACAAAAATGAATTACTACCCTTCTTTTTTTCTGTTGTTGTTTTTAATGTTATATCAATACCACATACACAGAAATACATCCCAGAAACAATCTATTCTGGCTAAATATTTTTTAAAGAATTGCTATCAGATTTTAGAAGGATTTTGTCTCCATAACTCCCCCTGACATAGTTTACGCAGTTCTTCATGCTTCTTCCTGCTCTGCTTCCAAAGTTGAAGTCATGGGAATTTTAGTTCTAAATTTTAATTAAATTTTTAAAAATTTTTTACTATATGTAGATCCACGTGTCTTTAGATGTAACTCATCATTTTATAATAAAAAGTCTTTTTTAAGAGCAGTTTTATTTTTATAACATTGAGAGGAAAGTACAGAGGTTTTCCATATACCCCATGCCCCAGGTGGTGAAAAGCCTCCTCCATTATTAGCATCATTCACCAGAATGGTACATTTTTTTCCCCCACAAGGATAAACCTACACTGACACATCATTATAACCCGAAGTCTGTAGTTTACCTTAGAGTTTACTCTTGGTGTTGTGCCAAAAGTAAACTCTGTGAAAATCCTGTTAATTTGGTGTGGGTAAATTCTGTGGGTTTGGATAAACCCACAGATATATACCCACAACTTTAGCATACAGAGTACTTTCACTGTCTTAAAAATAATAATTACATATCTATCTCTTCTTTCCCACATAACTGCCATGTATATTTTACTTATCTCTGTAATTTTGCCTTCCCAGAAGTTCATAGGGTTAGAATCATACTCATGTAGCTTTTACAGACTGACTTCTTTCACTTAGCAGTGGATTTTTTAAGTTTCCTCCATGTATTGTAAGGACTTCATATCTCATTCCTTTTGGCCTTAAATAATGTTCTATCATCTGGATGTGCCACAGTATATTTATTCCTTCATCTACCAAGGACCTCCTGAGTTGTTTCCATTTTTTGGCAACTAGTAATAACCCTTTTTTTCAGCATCTTTCATACCAACAACTTACCTTCTCTTGAATTTGCAGAGTTGAGGACTCGAGTATCATCAGTCCAATGAGAATCACTGTTCTTACTTCAGGAGTCTGTTTCTGAGATTATAAGGGCATAGTGCCAACAGAGCAGATGCTTCTTGATAGGTATTACCTGGATCGCAGCTGGCCCCTCCACACCACCCTTCCTTTGAGGACATTCCAGAGCCTCTCCCCCCCCCTTTTTTTTTCTTTGTCATAATATTTCACAATTTATTGTTTTTTTAAAATAATATAATAGTTTATTTTTACATCATATTGTGCCTTTTTCCATCTCAGCTGTAATCCGCCTGGGCTTCCCATCACCAAATCACCCGTGTGCCATCACCATAGTCCAGTGCATTTCCCTCCCCACACTGTTCTTTGATCCCATTCCCCACCCCATCCCCATCAAATGTCTCTGGTATATGGCTGTTCATTGTTATTGTTATTTTCTCACCTGGTCCGTTATACTGCTGCTATGAGTGAAACCATCCAGTATTTTTCCTTTTCTTTCTGGCTTATTTCACTAAGCATGATCTTTTACAGCTCCATCCATGTTGCTGCAAAAGGCGTGTGTTTTTGTTGTTGTTATTCCATTGTGTATATGTGACACATCTTTTTAATCCAGTCATCCACTTTTGGGCATTTGGGTAGTTTCCATGTCTTTCCAATTGTAAATAAAGCAGCAGTAAACATGGGATGCAGGTATCTTTTTGAATCAGTGTTTTTGTGTCTTTTGGGTAGATACTTAGGAGTGGGATTGCTGGGTCGTATGGAATCTCTGTTTAGCAGTTTGAGGAACCTTCAAACTTTTCCATAGTGGTTGCACTAGTTTGCATTCCCACCAGCAGTGCAGGAGAGTTCCTTTTCCTCCATATCCTTGTCAACATTTATTGTTGCTAGTTGTTTGAAGATGTGCCATTCTCACTGGGGTGAGGTGGTTTTAATTTGCATCTCCCTTATTACAAGTGATGTTGAACGCTTTTTCATATGCTTGTTGGCCATCTGCATTTACTCTTTGGAGAAGTGTCTTTTTAGCTCTTCTGCCCATTTTTTGATGGGGTTGTTTATTTTTGTTGAGTTTCATCAGTTCTATGTATCTTTGTGATCGATCCTTTATTGCTAGTTTTGCGTGAGAAAATTTTTCCCCACTCAGTGGGATGTCTGTTTTTTGTAATGTCTCTTTTAACTTGATGTAGTCCCATCTATTTATCCTTGCCTTCACTATCATTGCATTGGGTGCTGTATCTTCAAAGATGTCGCTGAAGTGTATGTCGTGTAGTGTTTGGCCCATCTTTGCTTCCAAGTATTTTATGGTTTCCTTTCTTATGTCTAGGTCTTTTATCCACTTGGAGTTGATTTTTGTGCATGGAGTGAGGCAGTGATCTAGTTTCATGTTTTTTACATGTAGCTTCCCAGTTTTCCCAGCACCATTTGCTGAACAAACTTTCTTTGTTCCATTGTATCTTCTTTGCTTCTTTGTCAAAGATTAGCTGCCCATAAACCTGAGGGTTTATATCTGGGTTTTCTATTCGAATCCACTGGTCTGTATGTCTGTTCTTGTTCCAGTACCAGGCAGTTTTGATTATGGCTTTGTAGATAACTGGAAGTTTGGGATTGTAGTGCCTCCATTCTCTTTCTTCTTAGTCATGAGAGTTTTGGCTATTCCATGTGAACCTCATCAATATTTTTTCTATTTCTTTGAAGAATGTCATTGAGACTTTTACTGGGATGGCATTAAATCTGTATATCACTTTTGGTAGGATGGCCATTTTGATGATGTTAAGTCTCCCAATCCATGAGCAGGGGATGTCTTTCCATTTCATGGTGTCTTCTTGTATTTCTTTTAACAGTGTTTTGTAATTTTCTTTGTATAGGCCAGAGCCTTCCTTTTAGGAGAGATGATTAGTTCTACTTTTTCTTTAAATTTAATTTTCTATATCATTACATATGTACATTGACAGCCTGGAGGATATTAGAACTTCCCCTTCTATTTTGTCTCTTTCCACCAGCTTCCCTGAGGAAGAAGCAGGAGCTCCCTCTAGGCCCCTTAGACTACCAGAGAAGGAACGAAGGACCGTTCCTCCTTCCCAGGTGAGCTTGATTTGTAGCCTTGTGTACATACAGAGGACACTGCCTCCCTTCAACTGAATGCTGGCTTTTTCTTGCCAGTGGCTGCTCACAGTCTACAGGGGTTGGTTAGAGTATTTGCTGGGAACTATGGATAAGGACCACATGGAAGATAAGATAGGAACTTATCTTTGTGTGTGCTTGTATTTTTTCCCTGAGACTTCATTCCTTATCTTTACTGATGTGTATTATTGTTACATCTGTTTCACAGAACTCAGTTGGGAGGTTTGTCCCCCAGTTTTCAAAACCCAAGAAGACAGCAACAGCAGAAGCAGAGACCAGGGAAGAGGACCTCATGAATAAGGCCTTTAGCTTGGTAAGGCCCCAAATTGGCCAGTCTGAGCCCTATAGATGCACAGCCTCTGCTAAGGCCCAGCCTTAGCAGCTGAGGTCAGCCTTGATTTCCTTTGACAATGGCTAGACTTGCACCTCTCAACCGGCCCTCCCACCTCCATTTTCACTACCTGACACCACAGGTGTAGATGGATGGAGACCTGTTAAAAACCTTAGGACAGCTTTGCACACACTGAAGGCCAGAGCCCTTTTGCCCAGGATGCAAATTCAATAAAACATCCAGCCACATTTCATCCCTGAACCCCTTTGCTTCTCAGAAGCTTTACAGCTTGTTCTCTTGTTCTTACCTTCAAGAGATCCAGGGATTACAACGTCTCTGGTCACATGCACCCAAAAACATGAGTGGTGGCATCCCCAGAAACTATGTTAGTGACCACCAAGGTCTCCTTTAGTGAGTGAATGGTTAAACAAATTGTGTTCCTTTCACACCATGGGACACAACCCAGAAATAAAAAAGGAAGTAACTAGTGATACATGCAGTCACCTGGGTGGCCATCTAGGGTATTATGTGAGAAAAGCTGATCCCAAGGGTCATATACTATATAGGGTTCTGTTGACAACCTTATTAATTGGCAAAATTATTGAGGGGAGGAGAGAGTGGTTGTAGTCATGGTTGGGGAATGGTGTGCTGTTGTGGGTAGGAGGTGGGAGGCCACAAATGGCAGAATGAGAGATATTTGTGTTGGGGCTCTTTGGTTTCCTGGATACAGGGGTGGATTCACAATTTCCACCAAAAAGAGACCCTTCCATAACTTAATGCACACACGCCAACAAATAAGGTCAGTAAATTTGATGGATGTCAGCATCCTGGTTGTTAGCACACAATCAACTCTACAAGGTGTGACCTTTGGGGCAGCTGGCGTTAAGAGATGCCTCATCATTTCTGACAACTATGTATAAAATGGTCCCTCCCTGGTGGTGCAACGGGTAAGGACGCAGCACTGCAAGCTAGCCACAGCCCCTCAGTGCGAGTTTGATCCCCAGAGGTGACCACATGGTGCGGCAGACCTCTCCTGTCTCACACGCTGCTCCCCTCAACAGTGTACTTTGTCGATCAGCCTGTTCAGCTCCCCACTCTGTCTCTGGTGAATCTGATAACCCCTGCACCTGTGGCCTTTACCCCAGTTCTATATGCATAAATAAATCTTCTTAAAAAAAAACTATGTATGAAAATACAATGACCTCACAAAAAGTTTAATTGAAAAAGAAAAAGAGGCCATCATTGGTATAGCTGAGCCAGGTGGTTGTCAGTGGCTTCACTAAAACCACATCAACTTCACTCGTTCAGTATTTACAGCATGGACTCTCTCCTAGAAAGGTCAGACCTGGTGAGTATAGAGAAATAACTTGGAGGAGACATCTCCCATCACACTGACAGTTGTATAAAAGTGGGGCACAACTGCCGTCTGTAGGTGCATGAAGGCACAGAGCTCGGTCCCTAGTACTGAAATGATTTATTTATAGTTCATTTTAAAGAGAGAACTATGGTAAAGGTGAGAGAGGAAGAGTGGTAATAAGTTGAATCTGCATGTGGGGCCTGAATGACTTGAAGGATGGAGCTGATGCTGGTTAATACAGAGAGATTTTGAGTGGGATCAGAGCATGCATTGGTCATTTCACATGGAAGGTAGCCCAGAGATGCCAGGTAGAAATATCAAATACACACATGTATCTTCAGTTGGACAAATCTAGGTTATAGCAACTATAAACATCTATTTTTTTTTAATGCCATTTCATTTCGTACTTAAAAAAAGTACACAGTGGGTTAAAGTACAGCACTGAGAAGCTTAAGCCACTTCTGCATGAGTTCGATTCCCGCCTGCCCCGGAGGGGATCCACATGGCATGGCAGACCTCTCCTGACCCACCTGCTGCTCCCCTCAGCAGTATACTTTGTCGATCTGCCTATTCTGCTCCCCACTCTGTCTCTGGTGAATCCTCTCACCCTCTGCATCTCTGGCCTGTACCCCAATTCTGTATGAATAAATAAATAAATCTTTTTTTAAAAATTTGTGTATATAAGAACTGGGGTACAGGCCAGAGATGTGTGTGGGGTGGGGGTGAGAGGATTCACCAGAGACAGAGTGGGGAGTAGAACAGGCAGATCAAGGAAGTACACTGCTGAGGGAACAGCGGGCAGGTCAGGAGAGGTCTGCTGATCCATGGGGGTCACCTTCCTGGCCCGATTGAACCCATGCTGCAGTGGCTGTGGCTAGCTTCATAGTGCTGTGCTTCAACCCCTTGCACCACCAGGGAGGCCCCAACTATAAAGGTTTAGACCTGAGCACCTGAAAGAATGGGACTGCCATCTACCCTAGGTATTGTGCTCCACCTGAGTCCTAGTTGAGATCTCCTCTCCCCCAGCAATTTGATCTCCATTATAGACATTTCATTTCCCTCTCTCTTTTGTAACTTTTATCTTGAAATTAGGATGGATTCATAGAAAATTGAAAAATTATATAGACCCAAGTGTCTACAACCAGATGAATACACAAAATGTGACATATACATGCCTGGAACAGATATTTATACTCCCATGTTCATAGTGGCATTATTCTCAATAGCAAAGACAGATGTAACACATATCCAAGGAAAGAGGAATGAATAAACAAAATGTAGTATATGGTTGTATGTCATTTAACGTCTTAGTTGAGGAAGGACCACATATACAATAGTGGTCCGGATAGGCTGTACCATGCAGCATGGTATGTAGTAGTAGGCTGTTTATATAGACTTGTATAATTATACTCTGTGATGTGTACAACAATGAAATTTCCTAACACTGAATTTCTCAAAGCATATCTCTGTTGTTAATTGATATGTGACTTATTCATACAGTAGAACATTTTTAAGCCTTGAAAAGGAAATCCTGAGACTACTACATGAATGAATCTAAGGGTCACTATACCAAAAGTAATAAACCAGTCACAAAGCAAAAACTACCAAGTGATCCCAATTGCATGAGGTCCTTATAGTTGTCAAATTTTACCAAAATATGGAATGGAGATTGCCTGGGACTGAGGGAGAAGGGAGTTGTGTATTGGACACAGTTTCAGCTTTGTATGATGGCAGAAAAGGTTCTAGAGATAGATAGTGGCATTAGCTGTTCAACAATGTGAATGTGCCTTAGACCACTGGACTGGATGCTTAAAAATGGTTAAGGTGATACACAATGGAATATTACTCAGCGATCAAGAAAGATAAACACATGCCTTTTGCAGCAACATAGATGGAGCTGGAAGGGATCATGCTTAGTGAGATAAGTCAGAAAGAAAAGGAAAAATACCAGAGGATTTTACTCATAGCAGGAGTTTAAAGGCCCGGTGGGGGGGGGGGGGGAATAATAATGATAATGAACAACACAAATAGCTATATACCAGAATTTTTTTTTATTATTACAAAAGTTTATTTTTATATCATTTTGTACATTTTTTTTTCACATCTCAATTGTAATCCCATCACCAAGTCACCCATGTGCCATCACCATAATCCCGTGCACTTCCCTCCCTCAACCCCGTTTTTGATCCCATTCCCCACTCCACCCCCACAACATGTCTCTGGTATATAGCTGTTCATTATTTTTGTTATTTTCTCGCCTGGTCCATTATACTCCTGCTATGAGTGAAACCATTCGGTATTTTTCTTTCTCTTTCTGGCTTATCTCACTAAGCATGATCTTTTCCAGCTCCATCCAAGTTGCTGCAAAAGACATGTGTTTCTCTTTTTTTTATACCAGAAATGTTTTATGGGGGTAGAGTGGATAATGGGATAAAAAATTGGGTGGGGGGAGTACATGGGACTATGGTGACAGCACACGGGTGAATTGGTAATGGGAAGTCTCCATGCAGATTACAACTCAGATGGAAAAAGGCACAAAATGATGTAATAATAAACTATTATAATTTTTAAAAATGGTTAAGATGATTGGGGCTTCCCTGGTGGTGCAGGCGTTAAAGTCTCAGCACTATCAAGACATCATCAGCCATTGCTGCAGGATTTCCATGCCTGGCCAGGAAGCTGACTCCCATGGCACAGCAGACCTCTCCTGCCCTGTCTACTGCTCCCCTCAGCAGTGTATTTCGGTCTGTCTGACTGTTCTGCTCCCCATTCTGTCTCTGGTGAATCTTCTCACCCCTCACACCTCTGACCTACACCCCAGTTCTTGTATGTATAAATAAGTAAAAATAAGTCTTTAAAATAAAAGACAAAACATCACAGAGAGGTCCCTGTTTGCTCCCACGACTTACCCTAGTATCAACATCTTACCTAAGTATAGTCTATGATCCACTTCAGGCAACGAACAATGGTGCAATGCACAGGCCCCCTCAATTCTTATTCTTTCACCTTCAGGTGACTGGTATTGCTGGGGAGAAGGAGCTAGGAGAAGTGGGGTTTCCTGTTCTTCAAGTTTTTTGTTTTTTTTTTTAAGATTTATTTACTTATGCATACAAGAGCTGGAGTGCAGGCCAGCGGTGCAGAGAGATAAGGGGATTCACCAAAGGCAGAGTGGGGAGCAGAACAGGCAGATCTATTGAAACACACTGCTGAGGGGAGCAGAGGGCAAGAGAGGAGAGGTGTTGTAGCATTTGGGTCAGCTCCCTGGCAGGGGATGTAACTCATGCTACAGTGGCTGCGGATAGCTTCATAGTGCTAAGAGTTAACCTGTTGCATCACCAGAGAGGCCCTTGTGCTTCAAGTTCTTCCTCCAACCCGTAGCACAATGCTCTATACTGGTTCTGAATTCCTTTGTATGGGGCAATGATAGCTAGAAAAATTACAGGAGCAGTTTGTTAATGCATACCCAAGAATGAGTCTTTTTCTCTCTACAGGAAACACAGGCAGAGCCCAATGCCCAGCAGGCAGGAAGCCAACTACAGGAGGAACCCCCCAAACCCATTGTCCAGGAGGCCAGGGAACCAGGAGACCAGCTCCAGGCGGATAGTATCCATCTCCAGTACAGTGACCAAAGCTCTGAGACACCGGTGCTCAGCAGCAGGGATTCTCAGCCTGGGATCTCCCCAGACATCTCTCTAGAAAGGGAGACAGTGCCCTCTGTCTCAGAGAGGATCAACCAGAATCAACTGTCAGAGTCAAGGAGCAACACACCAGATGGTAGAAGTGGAGAGAGTGCTTGGGTTCCAGGTGGTCACAGCCAGAAAATGCACCTGTCAAACCCTGATGCTGAAGAGAAGCTGGAGCAGGGATCCCCCACAAAGGGCAATGCACCACAGGGTGCCAGGGCTGACCCATGTGAAGGACCCCAAGAGGAAGAAGAGCCCAGAGCTGTGGCCCAGGGCCTCCCTGATGCCATGCATATACCTAACAGAGCTGGCAGGGAAGCAGAACAGAACTTTAGCAACCCAACATGCTCCTCCCCTAGGAGTGTTGTTGTCACAGATGTGAACACAGAGCCTGCTGGTTCAGAACAGAGAGCTCTGGAGGCAGCTGAGCCAGATGGGCAGACCAAAGGCAGGATCCCTGATGAAGAGGACAGGGGGGCACTGCTCAACTGCATTCTTCTCACTGGGAAGAACTCAGAAGGTAGAGGGGAGTCAGAGAGAGGAACTGAGCCACTTGGTGATCTCATGGGGGGCCCTGAGGTTACCATGCCTCTGGTTCAGGGGATCCAAGAGTCCACAGTAGGTGCAGAACATCCCAACCCTCCAGCTTCAGAAATGGGCCCAGGTACTGATCAGAGACAAGTGTCAGGCCTGGATCAAGAGGGACTGGGAGGTGACCTCCCTTTACTATTGCAGCCCTCTGCTGAAAAGGCAGCCGAGTTAGGTATCCAGACCCATGAACAAGACCTCAAGGGGCTTAGTTTGCCCCTTCAAGCCTCCACCTTGCCAGTGCACAGCGTAGTGAATGGCCTTCCTTGGCAGACTAGCACATTCCAGGGCAGCCCAGATGCTTCTGCAGGCCAGCCCAAGCACCCTCCAGATTCTGCAGACCAGACTGCCTGGGGGGCATCCCTAGCCCAGGAATTGGACTTCCTGCCAGACAGCCAGATATGGGAAGCCCTGGAAGCCCCTGACTTTGAAGCCCCACCTGAGCAGGTAAGAGCATTTCTGAGTGACAGCACACCTGGGCTGGGCCAATGCCTAACGACTTTGAACCGGCTCCCAAATTGCCCAGTGACAGATGGGGCATGTGGCAATATGTTCAGACATATCTAGGGGTCTTAATCAAAGCTTTTGGAGGAAGGTCAGTGATTTTCTGGAAGGGTCAGATTTACCTTTCTGTGGGACCAATCTGAGTGGGAGCTGAAGAGTCCCACGCAGCCCTGGGACATAACTTGTCAGCCCAGGCAAAATGTATAGTTGCCTCCCCATCTGACCAGCTCCCCTGGGTGTACCCACTCCCTTCATCCTTGTCCACCCAGCCTTGGCTGTAGGTTCTCAAGGGTACCTTTGGACCTACTCTTGAGGTACCAAGAGTGACCTCAAGCTGGGCCTGGAAGAGGGAACTTCGTTTCCCCAACTAGAAAGAGTCACTCCTTAGAGTCATCCCATCTCCTTGCTATGATTCTTTTTCAAATATAGGAATGAAGGTTTGTGTTTCCATTGTACTTTTTATGGGTTTTCCTTCCTTCAGCATTAACAGGCAGTGTGACTGCTCACCTGTGAGGCAGGTATGGCCCTGCTCAGCCCTGCCCCCTGGGGAAGTGCTACCTCCCTGGCTGCTGGCAGATCTGAGCCCAGGCTCAGTGTAACTTAACAGTTACACCCCTCAAGGTAGGAGGTTCTCTTTCCACACACTGGGTGCAGCCAAGAGGCTGAAGGAGGTTAGGTGCCACAGCTGGAGGTGAGGAGACCAAGGTCAACCTTGCTGTTCAGCTGCACCTCAGTCACCCCGTTCTAGAACTGGAAATCTCACTTGCTTCAAACATGTTGACCTGTTTCTTTTGCTGTCCCTGTTTCTTTTTTCTTTTTTAAAGGATTTATTTATTTATGCATGCAAACCCGAGGTACAGGTCAGAGATGCAGGGTGTGAGAGAATTCACCAGAGACAGAGTGGGGAGCACAACAGGCAGGTGTACTGAGGGGAGCAGTGGGTGGGTCAGGAAAGATCTGCCCTGCCATGTGGGTCACCAACCTGGCCAGGGATTGAACTTGTGCTGCTGTGGCTGTGGATAGCTTCAAAGTGCTGTGCTTTAACCTGTTGTGCCACCAGGGAAAGCCCTGAAGTAATTTTTAAAACATATTCAGTGCATGTTTATCAAGTACTACTCCTTGCTAGGTGTGGTTCCTATCCAATAAGGTCTTTGGTAGCACCATCCTCACCTGTCTTTCCAGGGTGAACATCTGAAACCCTTTCATCCCAGCACTTAGTCTCTCCCTATGACACAGCACTGAAGTGCGCACACAGAGAAAACCAGCTGGTCCAGCTGTGCGTGCACACATAGCTGGGTTGGGTGAATGTGGTTTCTCAGTGCTTCTTTCCCAAGGCATGGCCTAGGAGTCATTTCCAATCCACACTGCTCACCTTTATCCTTCCTGCTATGTGTTGGTTCTTGGCTCCTCCAGCCACTCACTTCTCTTGTTACTGAATGAGCAAAATCTAGGAAAGTTACAATGTGGGTCATTAAGAGTTTGAACATGACCATCTCCTAGGAGAGGTATTGGGCAAGATGAAATTTTGTAGAGCTTCCATCCCTCAAAAAACACAAATCCCTCACATAAATTGTCTCCAGTCTCTGCCCTCTTGGGCAGTGACTAAGAGAAAGGCTGGGGAAGCCGTTGGGATGTTTGGTGGAATCTAGAAAGCAAAGGAGTGAGACCTTTCCAGACAGACCACCAGGAGGTCCTCTTTGGAAAGACGCAGGAAAGGAAGTGTGAGGGCCAGCCAGCCAGCCAAGTGGCCAGACCTGCCAGGCCTGCCAGGGCAGGAGGCTTTGACTAGCTGCCAACGCCCAGCAAATTTCATTTTGACACTGGGTGTTCCTGAACAAGTCAGGGCAAAGCAGGCATGAACAGGTTCCCATGGGAAGGTTCTGAATGCCCCCTAAGAACGCTGAGTGAGCAAGGATACTGGGAATAGAGTGCAGGTGGACAGAACAGCAACAGCAGCTTCCCACCAACAGACCCTCTGTTTCACCAAGGCACAGCCATGAGCATAGCTTGGGAGGCATGGGAGTGGCAACCTGGAGGCTCTTAGAGGTGAGGGACTAGGTCTTTTCACGGGAACCATAATGAGCATCATATAAGAAACTTATTCCCCTTATTCCCCTTTGTGCCTCTCAAGGCCTTCAGCACATCCAGTAGGAAGAAGGCCTTGCTGTCTCACAGTTCCATAACCCTGTGGGTGTGGTGGTAGCTGTTACAAGAATTTTCCTCATGGCCATTTATACACTGAGGTGGATAAATATGTGACATCAAATTCTTAGTCAGAGTTGCCCACCTGAAAGTTACCAAATGAGGCCCTCCCTGGTGGTGCAACGCGCTAAAGCACTTTAACCAACGGGTTAAAGTGAAGCTGTCGCAGCCACTGCAGCATGAGTTTGATCCCCGGCCTTGGAGGTGATGCACGTGGTGCAGGAGACCTCTCCTGTCTCACCCGCTGCTCCCCACAGCAGTGTACTTCATCCATCTGCTTGTCCTGCTCCCCACTCTGTCTCTGGAGGATCCTCTGCACCTCTGGCCTGTACTCCTGTTCTGTATGTATAAATAAATAAAACTTTAAAAAGTTGATCCGATGAGTGGGAGATTCTGTATTGTCTATAGCTAGGTTGCAACCTGCTGGCATGTAGGGTCAGAGTGCTCTCTACGGCAGCGTCCCATGTACTCTAGGTTGTTAAGCAGCATTGCTGGCCTCTACTGACCAGATTGCATCAGCATTCCCACATCAGAAATATTTTCAGGTACTATAAAGGCTCTCTTGAGACAGAATGGCCTGAACTCCTGCGCAGGCAGGCCTTTGTGTCTGTTTCTGTGGACACAGGGATCCTTTTTCAGGTAGCTCAAGCCTGTCACCCCAAAGTCTCCATTCAGAAATACTTTTCCCACCCTGAGACTTTTGTCGCCTCAAAAGAGGCACAGAAGCCCAGCCCTGGCTTGGTTACTGTACTGCAGCTTCTTTGGAGGGACACATGTATTCTCTGATTAAACGTGACACTTTCCACAAAAAGTAAACTGTCATTGACATGTAAAAACCTAAAGTTCTCAGAGCTATCTGTTAATAGTACTCTCCCCTATTAATGAATTTTCCCACCTGATACGTTTGCAAAATCTTTTTCTGACATTAAACATACAGCATATTTGGCTGACTTCCTCCCTTGCCACCATTCAGGGTCTTCTCTGTACCCATCTAGATATTACGTGATGAACAGCAGACAACGGCCTGCCTCAAGTTGTTCAGGCACCAGAGCCACCCACTGGCATAGAACAAATTAGCCTTCAGAAGGTGTAGGATGGGAGAGGACCCAAGGTTGGTTTTCTTCTGAGGGAGGAGGGCTAGAGCAGCAGGTTAGTGGCCCACAGGGCTAGTCATCATGATGTCCCTCTGCCACACCACCTTTCCTCTGCAGGAGTTCTGGCCTCCATGGCCCTGGTGTGACTGAGGGGAAATGTGCCATCCCCTGCTTGACTCTCCCTTTATTTGCTGGGTTTGCTGTGCTAGGCTGTTCACACGTGTTCTCTTTTCAGTTGTTATCTGTGGGTCCTCTCTGGCCCAGTGCCAGCACACCTGCCGATGGTGGCTCCCTTGACGAGACCCAGCAGAGGTAAGCTAGATGGGATGCTACCCCAGGACTGTTCCTTTGGTGGGAATCCTCACTCTGCCCTGATAGGGACAGTGCAGCCTCCTAGCTCTCCCTTACTCTTCCCTTGTAAACCCGAGTTCTCCCTCACCCCTGCCCAATGAGCTCCATTTTGCCCACAGCGGTAGAAATGGAGGAGACCCTGGCTCTCCCTGTCTGGACCTTACTTTCCTTAACCCAGTAAGGAAACCAAGCCCTGCCTTTCAAATTGTGCATGTCTCCTGGTCCTGCAAGTAGAGAATGAGCAACCACCACTACCCAGGAGTGCTGGCTGGTTCCCCTGTTCCACAGGTTATTTGAATGCATGTGTGTATTTTCTAGAAAGGGGTTCAGAGCTCCCTCTGATCTCTGTTGAGGAAGCAGGCCCCAGATGTGGCCTTGGCATGCCCTGTGTCTCATACCTGGCCTGTCTCCTGATTTACTGCTTGGCCTTCCTCTCCCTGTGTAGCCACCAGGTGTGCTACCCCTCCATCCTACGGAGCCTTCCATTCCTCTTCCCTACCTTGCCAACCACTAGCTGTGGGCACTGTCTCCTAATACCCACACACACACATATTGTGAACCCTGTAAGTAATGGCAACTTCATTATTTTAGTGCCAAACTTGTGTTTCTGCCTGATGGATGTAGAGGAGGGTTAGGAATACATCCCTAGGCCATTTCTCTCTTCCTGCTCCTCAGGGTGAGGCAGCATTGTGCCCACCTCCTGCCCTTGTCCCATCTCTTAACTCACAGCTCTTGTCCCACTTGATGTCACACACACACATACTCTTAAGGAATCAAAAGCAGTTTAGTCAAAATGGCTCCACTATTTTCACAGAGAAGGGATAGCTGGAAGTCTGCAGGGCAAGTCCTGGGGCTGGCTGAAGCCAGCCAGCCACAGGGTGCAACCAAGGCAGGCAGAGAACTGGAGTTGCTGCAGTGACAGCTCAGAGGACTCTCCCAGCCTGGGGTGTGGGAGACTTTAGGGGAACCCCTGACCTGAGGCCAGGTAGGTAGCCCCTGCCCAGGTACAAAGGCTGTACACATGAGACATGGCCACTTCTTCCCATGGATGTTATGCCATGTAGCACCTGGTCTTCTGGAAACTGCCATGGGGGCTGGGACATAGGATGTAGCTTTGTTCTAGTTGGGTTAGGGGTAAGAAACAAGAAAATCAGCAAAGCAGTCTTGGGGAGAAAATGGCAGCACTGGTTAATCCATTACCAGTGATTAGCAGAAGCCGTTCCCCATTCTCCCACCCAAGGAGGTAACAATTGGCAGAGAACATTCTAGAGTCCCAGGAGATGCTGGGGACATGGAATTCAGTGTGGGAGTAAAGGGAAAAGGGAGGGAGGGAAGAGATGGGGTCTCGGGGTACCAGCAGGTGGTGTGGGGCTGTAGGTGGGGGGTGGTTGGTGGGCCAGGTTTCACTTTCTCAGCACCCCCATTTTGTGTGGGGGGACAGGCAATAGAGGCAGGAACTGGGAACCAGGAGGTCTATGGGATCTGCCCAGGGGAGAGCGGCTCCTTTTGGCAGGAGAGCCAGGTGAGTTGGCTATCAGGGATCTGCCCTTGATGGCTTCATATCTGGAAAAGGGTTGGCTCTTTGGAGAAGGGCAGCTAGACTATCTGGAGATGACAGCATGAGGCCTAGCTGATGTTTCACAAAGCTGCCAGTGAAGTCAAGTCCCTGTCTTCTTCCTTTCCCACCAGAACCCACATGGGAATTAAGGCCTGCGGAGCCCCAAACTTGGAGGATGCCACAGATATTGTACAAGGCCTGGTCATCGAGCTCTCCAACCTGAAGTAAGAGTTGGGTCTGGATCCATGGGGGACAGACAGGATGGGTTCTGGGTTCTAAAGAGGTTGGAGAATCCAGTATGGCAGCAAGACACTTACCTAGGCTCCCAGCCAGCAGCCCCAGAAAACACTAGCCTTCAGGATATACACCTGGCAGAATGACCAGTTTTTGAAGTTGGGCTGGAATCATCACAGCTCTCTTGGTTTTGATTGTGCCTGTGCGTGGGGGGTGCCATAGCCCTACAGCTCACTTGGGTGTTTCCTCACAGCCGGATTATCATGAGTGCTCACCGGAACCTGGAAGTCTTCAAGCACTCCAGCTACTATAAAGCGAAGTCATCCAGGAAAGCCTCTGTGCCCTTTACTTCATTAGAGACTGGGAACCCCCATGGGGGGCTCTCATGGAAGGATTTCTAGATGCTTCCAGATGGCCTGTGGGAGCAGGTGTTTTCTCTAGCCCCACAAGTACCGAACAGCCTGGAAATAATCTCAGCAGATCCCAGAAAGCCATGAGCCTCCCTGTGCTCCTAGTATTTTGTTACCCTCCAAGATGCCTAGGGGATTCTAGTGGGCTCCAGAAGCCACTGCTCAGCCAGCCAAGGAAGTCAGTTCTCCCCACCCCCCCTGCAGGGAACACCCGCTGGGTGCCTTCCTCAAATTAGTATTAGGGAGGGGCTCCCCCCCCCCAACATACACACAGCTCAGGAGGAGCAGCCCAGCTGGGGGGCAGCTCAGATGTTTATCTGGGCTTACAAATCTCAACTGTTCAGAATTTGTTTGTTTGCTGAAGGAGAAAAGAGCTTATGTTAGTTGTGCATTCAGCTTTCTCCCAATTTCCATTTTCTTTCTTTTAGGAAGACCACTAATAAAGGACTTTAGAATGATTCTCACCTAACCTGTTGAGTTTGAGGCATTCCCATTCCTTAATGTTCTCCCACCACCTGGTCCCTTACTCACCTTTTTCTACCTTGGGAGAGACAAATTGGATTGCTGCAGGGCGTAGGTCAAGAGCTCCCTACAAATTTCCAAGCAAGTATGCCACCATCTCCAGAACAGATGGCTGTGTGTGTGTTCAGGTGCCCAGTGGTATGTCAGGAGCAGCAAGCCCTCAGCCATGTGGCTGAGCCTATCCCTGGAGAGCTGGAGTTTGCTTTGGCGTTCACATAGCCTCTTGCAGTCCAGTTGGAGGCAGTGCTGGGGCCAACCCGGGGCCATCATCCCACAAAAGCCTTCTCATAACCCCACAGCACATAGGTGGCCTCAGGGGCTTCCATAAGCCCCTTTTACAGAGTCTGTCTGTTAAACTGATCCAGCAAAGCTGACCAGGCCCTGGACTTTTAACCTCTGTGTCCTTGGCTCCTGCATCTAACTCCTAAGGCCAGGACAGGGCCTGCTTTCAATGCAATCTTACACTTCAGGAGCCCCCAGAGAGGGGAGGGATGATAAGGGTCCCCAGCATTTCTTCCTTGAGTTCACAGGAGAGTACCCCATTTGCCAGTTCACAAGGCCCAGGCACCAGCTGCTCTTACAGTTTCTATAAGAAGTTTGCAGTGCGGTGGGAAAAGAGGGAGAGACAGTGATATTCAATTTTCTAGCTCAATTCTTGGGACTACTAGGGGGTCCTCTGTATATTCTTTTCCCTCCTAGGTGACCTTAAGTCCTAGTTCAAGTCAAAAAGCCAAGGGCAGAGGGCACCAAGCCTGGGAGACCATATGGGCAGAGTGTGTGCGTAGGCTGTGGAGCCAGCACTCAGCTTGGGGAAGGAATGAAGACCTGACCACATGCAAGGTCCAGGCTAAAGGCCAGGCTGAAAGAATAAGAAAATAGAAAAGGACAAGAATAGAAAAGAATAAAGAATAGAGAAAGCAGATGACATGCCCCCCCCCAAACACAGCTCCTAGCCCAAAGAGTAAAATGCCACACTAGCTGAACGGGAGGAATTTCCATCCCCCCTTGCCCAAGGAAATTGAAATTGCCTCCCTGATCGCCCTGCCCAAGACTGGACTGGCCTGACCCCCCAGGCCATATTCTCATCCCCTGCCATGCCACCAGGAGTCCCTCCCTTGCTTTAAAGGGCCTATCACGGGACTCCAGGCTCATCGGGACATCTATAGTAACCTAAATGCTCACGGGGACCTACTTGGTGAAGGGGGAGGGAGTGCAGGGGGTTGAGGGCTTGCTCAATCTCTTTATTCTCCCCCTCAAATCAGGCCCCTCCCCCCCCAGTGTTGGGTGCAGTTTGTCCATTTGTTAGGTCAATATGCAGGGTAGCTAGGAATTGAAAAAAACAAATGCAGCAGAAATGGCTTTCTGGGGTAACCCAGCAATTCCCCAGGGTAAGCTGAAATCCAAACAACAGTCTGGGGAAGGGGGCATGGGTGCATGGATACAGCTGAGAGAAAAGGAGAGGCCCCAGTCCTTCCATCTATTCCTGCTACTTTGTCTCAACACCATGCCTCACTTGATTTTGAGAGTGCATTCATAGCATTTATTGAGTACCGAGGATTGCCTCCTCCCACATGGGGTTTCTTTGGTCATGCTCCCAGGTCCAGCTCCCTCACCAGGCCCCCAAGCAGGGAGCCCCTTCAGGGCCCGTCCTCAGAGTGTGGATCTTCCCAGAAAACTACCCTCCACAGAGCCTGGGTCCCCATCCCCAGGCGAAGGCAGCATCCCCTTGCTCTCCATGCCAACCTCCTAGGCAGAAGTAGAGGGACAGCAGGAAGGCGAAGATCCAGAAGACTTCCCAGCACCTTTAGAACCTGCATTTTAAGAGTGGAGGAGGAAGGAGGAAAACATTTAATAAAAACAGTAATTCAATGGGGCCAAAGTAACTGATCCACTGGCTGGGTTGCTGGGCTATGGCGCCACCTGGGGGCTTATCCTACAATGGCAACCCCCCTGCTGTTCCTGGACCAGGACAGCTACCAGTCCCCCTAGAGAGGAACACAAAGCCTAGAAACTGGGACTCCAGCCAACCATGCTGCCTACTCAAGACCTCAGGGCTCTGGGGACCCCAAATTTATTACACCCACAATGTTACAGCGAGGCCGCTCTCAGGCAGCCTTTGTATGTCCGTATTTAGTGGTGAGAACTCCCTCAAACCAGGGGAGGCAAGGGACTTAAGGGGAAAAAGACAAGACTCAGGAACCATCATCCCCATGTCCCCTCAGCTTTCCTGGTCTCCCAGTAGAGCCTCATCAAAACTCAGGACCCTCCCTGGTGGCACAACTGGTTAAAGCACAGCACTATGAAGCTATCTTAGCCACTGCAGCACAAGTTTGATCCCCAGCCAGGGAGGTGACCCACATGGCACTGACCTGTCAGCTGCTTCCCACTCTGTCTCTGGTGAATCCTCTCACCAACCCCCACCTCTGACCTATACCCCAGTTCTGTATGTATAAATAAATCAATCTTAAAAAATAAACTCAGGAAATTCACCACCGAGGCAGTCTCTTACTTTTACCAAGTTGTCACATCCGTGTGGAAACTGTACCCAGTCACCTGCTTCAGGAACTCATAGGCTGATGGGGAAGAGAGCACCACCCAAATGGGCAGCTGGGTCACAGCCCCTTCAGATTCCCAATGTTGGCTGACTTCCCCTCAGGCAATTAAAGTTGCTAAAATGGGTATCTCTTCTAAAACTCCACCAGTGCTGAAATCTTTTGCCTCCAACTACTGCCTTTTAAGCTCCAGCTACTCAAAAGCCTTATCACAGCAACATCACCATGAATCATTTAGAAATCCTTTAGAAATACAGGCATTCCAGCCCCACTCAGACCTGTAGAAATGAAATCTGTAGTTTGTCCACATACGGTAAGCAAGATTGGGGTGACCCCATGTGGTAGGTTGAGCACAGTATGAAGACAACCAGATCAGGGCTCAAGGAAGCTTTAACTCATCTTCTGAGTTGTGCCAAGGGACCAAGACTCCTTGCTTTTTCCTTGAACAGCTGTGTCTGAGAGATCTGCCCCTTTCCTTCCAGTGCTCTCAGGTCTGTCCCCATACCTAACAGCCTCCATACCAGGAGAGGCGAGAGTGTCACCCTCTAACTCACTAATGCAAAGACCTGGCCTGGCCACTTCTGTGGCTCCCAAGTACCAGAGTCCAAACTTTTTACATGACTCAAAAAGAGCAATTATAGGCCCTTCCTACTGTCCCTGAAATCTGACACCTCCCCCTCGCCACACATCCACACACTCCATTCCAGACAGACTGAACTTGTCAAAACTGCTGAGCAAGCCTGAGTGCTTGGATCACATATCTGACCCTCCACCAAAATGAGTAAGGCTTCCAGAAGTCACTTTCTCCAGAAAGCCCTCCTGGACTGCCTCTCATCTAATCTGAGGTTTTCTTAGACCCATCATCTGGTGCTTTAACTGCCTCTGTGCCACCTACCTATTCACTACTAGCCCGGCCCAGCGTTTGGCATAGAACAGGCACATAAGCTATCTGGCAAATGAACTATTTGGCATATAAAGAAGAGAAAATTCAGAGAGGCTGAGCAACTTCTCTCAGGCCACACAGCTCCCAAATGCCAAACAGGCTTGGCATCTTTGTTGCACCTGCCCACAGATCCCACTGCTGAACACAGGGCCTCCTTGCCAGATCGCCATGTCTGGAAAAGGAATATTTGCCCCATGGACCCAGAAAAGGAGAATGCCTTGTTCAAAGCCACACAGTGAATCCCAGCCCAGCTTATCCACACTAGAATAGTATTTTAAGCTTTCTCAATAGATTATCTCCCTACCCCAAGTCTCTGAAGAGAGTACTGGGGTTAATTCCATTTCATAGAGGCTCCAGGAGCTCAGTCTCCAGGACAGGCGCATCCATAACCGGTCCCCTATCACCTGTACAAGCACCTCCTCCTCCTCCTCCTCCGGCTCCTGCTCCTCCTCCCCGGCGGTGCCCTGAGTCTGGTGTCCTCGCTTTGTCTGGCCTGGTCAGCCTCTTGCCAGCAGAGTTGCGGGTGGTGTAGCTGTAGACGGAGGTGTAGCCCTGTCCAGTGAGTGGGCAAAAGCGGCGGGTGTGGGCCCGCTCACGTGTGGCTCCGCACTGGGGGCACACATAGTCACGAAGGATGGGACACAGCACCCTGCCAGCCTCATCCTTGAGCACGTGAGACTGGTAGATGGCCCGGGACTCGCCGTTGTGTTTGCAGAAAGAGCACAGGCGTTCTGGAGCTGGTGAGGATTCTGGGCTGGGCCTCTGATCCCCTGGTCCTGGGGCTGGCTCTGGTTGAGGATCCAGCCTGGCCTCAGGTTCCTCTTGCCCACGCAGAGCCCCCACCAGACGTGCCAAACCCAGGTAATCTGTCCACAGATCGAAGGTCCCCATGGTTGAGTGATGTGGCCGGGCAAAGGGGCAGAGAAAGATCCTGCCTGCTCAAGGGGCTTCTTACCCCTTTCTCTCTCCACACTCCCTCTCCGGAGCCTTTGAGTCTGGGCTGTCAGTTCCCTCCTTATACTTCCAAGAGGGTGTGAAGGGGGAGGAGCTGGTTGTAGGAGTCTCCTCTCACAGGGGGGCTGCTGCAGCTGGGAGGGGGGATATAAGCACCTGCCAGGGAATGTACAGGCTGGGTGGGGGGGGTTCCCTGAGCAAGGGGTGGGGGTGACAGGACATAGGCTGCAGAAAGCACCAGCAGCTTAGAGCTACCTCCCCAGATCCAGAGGGCATTGGGAAGGCTACGCCTTTCTGCCCATCCTTGGAAGAGGCCTGGAGCCCCATTGCCTCACAAGGTGATGGGAGTGGGGGCAGTGTTAGGAAGTCTCACCCCATAGACAAGCATTGATTTAACCAGCAATTTAGTAACTTCTTTCTTCCTTTCCAGGCTGGGGGAGGGGCCAGGTGCCCCGGGCTCTTTGGCAAGGGTGGGGGGAGCTGCCCTTACTCCTTACCCTGGGAAGGGGAAGGGGAATGATGATACCTGGCCTGGAGAGGTGGGGGACAAGAACCAAGCCCCCCATATCTAGTCTCATTCAGGGAGCTTTCACATCCACTGTCTCAGTGGAACCCCCATTTAATGGATAAATGCAGGTATGCATGTTGAATGATAAACAAAAGCCCTCCTCCCTCATCCACTTATTAGAGCCCCAAGGCTAAGTGGTGTGACTCCAAGGTGGAGGGCTTAGTGGACTGGATGGTGGAAAGTGGGGAGCCAAGCAGGGAGAAAGTGTGCAGGAGCCAGGAGGGTGAGAAAGCTGGGCAGAGGGCTTGGACACAGAAGGGAGGCAATGCCTGCCCCATTCCTTCTTCTACATCCGGAGCACAGATCACCGCCCCACCCCACCACCTTTCAAAAAGGCTTTTCAGCAGCCCAGTCAGGACCTATGATCCTCTTCCCTAGCCTTCCAGGATTTATCCCCCAAATGCAGCCTAAAGCCTGCCTCCACCAGGATCCCAGATACTAGCCCTCCCCAAAGGGAGAAATGTGAAGTCAGGACAAGGTAGTGGCTGAACAAGTTTGTGGGGGTGCCTAGGGGTGTCTCATCCCCTTCTCCCCATAGCCCTTAGGCTGTGTCTGGCCCAGCCACAGTGACATTCATCCCTCGGTGGGTCTGGCCTCCGTCCTCACAACCCACCGACAACAATGAATGTTGATTGTGACCTTCTCTGTGACCTAAAGGCAGGGATGGCTCCCCTTCCCCCTGGCTATGAGGTTGTGATGAGCGGTTGGCAGTTCCAGGCCTCGGGGTCCACTCAACGGTCGATGGTTTGCCTGAGCTGCCCAAACTCACCGACAGGTTGAATGTTCCCCCAAACCCTTGTGAGGGATGCCCTGAGAGGGAGAGAAGGACCTATTAACAGTAAGTCAGCAGTTACTTGGTGCTAACTGTTTGCCCTGGGACCTAGAAAAAGCAGGAAACAAATTATTCTAGTAACAGTACATATTTAAGTCTCTTTTCTCTACTGAAGTAATCTTTGTAACCAGATGTAGCAGCACAGGGCACTCTGCTTGACTCCTCAAGTAACACTCAAAACAGCTTTGCAAGAGGCAGATTACTCCCATTTGTAGGTTTGGGAAACTGAGGCCAAAGGCACAGCTAATAATAAAAGAGGGAGGAGGCATTCCCAGTGGCCCTAAGATGTCTAGCGGCTAGACCAGGCAGTTCTGACCCAGGGCATCCATGCAACACAGATAAACAAGTCATTTTAATACAATGTAATACCTTAAGTGAACCACTTGGTGTCTGGGCACAATTGTTTGTGAGACTGTGAATCACAACAGCCTTGGGGTGTTCTCAGAGTCTCCACTTTGCAAATGCAGCTGCCAGCCCCCACCTCCCATAGTACCACCCCCCCCCCCACTTCCAGTCCACTGAGCAGGGAGGAAGTTAAGAGGGGGCAGTCTGGCAGTCTCCAGGCAACAGAGCTTAGGCCATCTGCCGAATCTCAGAGCTACCCTGGTGGCAGTGACACTCGGGCTGCAAAATAGACTGCAGACAAACCTGGCTCAGGTTCCCACTGGCTAGATGCTACTACCCTCCCATTTCTTCATGAGTCCCCCCTGCCCTCTGGGAGTTACAGGGAGTTGGCCCCTAGCACCTGGGTGCCCTCCCTCCTAGATCCCTACACCAGGGCAGCTCTGCAGCTACTAACCCCTGGGCCCCACCTGCCTGCAGAGAGGGGGAAAAGTGGAGGCTACCCCACCCAGTGGAGGGGTGTTCACATTCCAGTAATCCCTTCCCATTTTCACTAAGGCGGGTACTGAGAACATTTCCTGGCCTAAACCTAAAATAGGTCAAATGTACCAAATGTACTGAATATGAGTGAATCCTACAGCATCTCTTGGTGGACAGATGAGACCGCTCTAGCCCCCAAAACTACCACACACACACCCCGAATGTCCATCTACAGCAAGTTTCCTAAGACCTGACCCACAGAAGCCATGGACCAAGGTTAGTTCCCAAGACCCCCTTCCCTCAAAACCTACCTTTTCCTAGGGCTCCCATATAGATTCCCACCCTACAACACAACCCCTAAAACCCACCCCCTAAGCTAAAGCCTGCTGCTTAGACCCCCACTGTCATCTTCCCTAAGAACTTGGGCCCCCAAGGCCACTGGCAAGGAATCCAACCCCTCTAGAGTCCACCCTGACAGGATCTACCCCAAACCCACCCATTAAGCCCCCCCCCAGCCCACTCCCCTTCCAGGAAAGACTTGTCCCCATGAAATCCAGCTCATGGGGCCCATTCCAGTACTTGCCTTTTACCCCGGGGCTGGGTTGAGTCATCTTCTAGCCTACTGATGTTTGGAGCTCTGTGTGGGGTGCCCTCCCTGGGGGGCCCATGCACCCCACCTGGCCAGCAGGGCCCCTATTCTGATGCGGGGAGTGTTTGGTGGCTGGGGCTGCTTCCTTACCCTCAGAAAGGATCCAGACCAAAGGCGCATGGGTGGTCTCCTGCCTTGAGGACAGCAGTCCCCACAAGGACAATGCTTACAATTCCAGCCCACCAACGTGGGATGGGTGGGTAGGGTTAGTAATTGCAATGCTATAATAACAATGATGCTTTACATACAGCACACCCTATTATTAAGATACCCATCTTATCCTAGAAGAAGGTGAGGTTCTAAGTTTGGAGCAAACTCCCGTTTCCTCAAAAGCTTTGTTCTTGGTGAAATGAAGCTAGAATTCGGGTGTCAACCAGCATGAAGCACTCTAGGGGGTGGTGTGGAGGCGGAGCTCCCCAAAATCCGTTTCTTTCCGTGCCTCCTCTTCTCCTGCTTCCTTTAGCATTTTGACTTTGACCTACCAAGGAGAAAGGTCCCGGGAGTGCCTCCCGCAGGCCTGGAAGGTTTGTCAGCAAGGCAGCGCGGAGGTGATGGGCGGGGTCTCCAGCCAGGGGGCGGGGTGGGAGGAGGTACACGGCCGCAGACCCATCCCCAGCGGGGCGGGGCTGTCTGGGTCCGACCTCGGGGCTGTCTGCCTTTGTCTGCAGAGGTTTGTGCGGGTTTCCCGCCCTCTGCGTTTGTCTGGGTCCGCCTGAACCCTTCGCTGATCTGTTCATCTGAGTCTCCCAATCCATGTCTGGAACTTTTCTTTACACCAGATTTCCACTCTGTGTCTCTCGACCTGTCTCTTCCAGGGGACAGACCCTAGGCAAAAGGTTACCCTTGTCTGTCTGGGATTTATTGTCTGTACTTAGGGGCTTAAAGGCTAAAAGTTCTTCCCACCAAGTGCCCGAGGCCTGCTGGGGGAACAGGTTGGGCTTCTGCCGTTGAAGCCCAGCAGGATGGAGGCCGGGCTGTCTCCAGCCACCCCCAAAACCCTGGCTTGTAGGTGTAAGGCACCCATGCTCCTCAGGGATATCCAACCCTAGTTCTGCTTCTCCCTTATCCTAAGTGTCAAGGGTTTGTACACCCATATGGGAGGGTCTATCTGACCAGGGGCTGCTGCTTGTGGAGTGGGGCAAACCCTCCAGAAGGCATGCTGACCCAGGGCCTGCCCCACCCCCAACCACATCCTGAGCTACAGGAAGGCAAGGGAGTTGGCAGAATCTGGGGTGAGAGGTCCAGTGGAACCAGTTGGGTATGAGATGGAGGCAGCTCTGCTATCAAGTTGAAGAATAAGGTGGAGGGGTGGTATGGGGATGAATGAGGTCAGGAGTTTGGGGTTTCCAGGGAGTGTCTGGAGGCCTCTGTGTGTCTGTGTGTGTGTATGTATGTCCATGCAGGTGTCCCTGCAAGTGTACCCTTGTATGTGCCCCAGTCTGCCTATGTCTCAATGCGGCCTCACGTGTGTGTGAACTGAGAAGGGGCACACAGGGAGGTGTCAGGTGGGGTGTGCAGCCAAAGCACACATGGGGGGGCTCCCATGTATGCTCCTGTTGATGATGCAGTATGTCTAGACTTTTGGGCAAGGGGCTTCTTATTTCTGTGATCACTGCGTAATCCCTGAGGTTCCCACCTGCCCTCCCCATTCCACCCCATGGGCTTCCTCTCCTGCTGCCTACTGGCCTTTTAGGTAGGGCCCTCTGCACTGGACCCCAGACCAGGGGGCTGCCAGTGGGCCAGGAGTCAGAGCTTCCTACCCGTGGCCACCAGATGTGGGGCAGGGCTGTGGGAGGCAAGAAGAAGCAAGTCCAGGGTTGGAGACTGTGGAGGCAGCCTGTGGCAGGTTAATAGGAAATTCAGACACTTCTACGGAGGTCAGTGGTGCAGAATGACCTTGGTTGGTTCTGGGTCTAGGTGAACCCCCTCTGTAAAAACACTGGCATCGGCATCTTACGGACCTGTTACTGGGAGTCTACAGAGGTTTGTGTCCAAGTTACTCAGCTTGGCTGTCTTAAGGGGTCTGTGGGTATCTCTAAGTCCAGGTAAGTTCCCAGAGGTGTGCT